GGCCTTTCAGGCCTTCGTTATTGACATTATAGTATTACGGGGAACCCTGTAGCAGCCACATCCGTGCTCAAGCCTCCAACGAGGGAACATGTGGGAGTTGCACCCAGCAGCAGGTGCGATACCTGCTACAGCAGGTGGGCGATACCGGCCAGGCGTCAGCCGGTAGCATCCGGACCGAGCTTCTTCGATGGGCCAGTCACTGTGCCTCCCCTCCGGTCCCCTCGCCCTATGAACATCAGCAGTCTCTGCTCAATGCCACTCGGGGGCACCAACGGCATATCTCTAGGTGGCGGGCGCCAAGCTTGCCCAGGAAGGTGCATGAGGCCAATGGGGATTATTTGTATCATGATATGTTTATCCGACCTTCTAAACAACAACTAAATTTGTGTACCATTCCGCCTTTTTTTTTAATTAGTTTAAGAAAAAAGAAAGCCACCCCCTTGAGATGAGATATAATCAACGAGCTGATCCGTCCCAGGGAATTCGGAGTTAGTTTATTCATCTGATTCCTTATGTCGGGATTCGAACTCGGCTCTGCTTTTTACGAACAACGCTTGATGAGTGAACCATTCAGCTCCGTGGGTTGATCAGGATTTGAACTCAGGTCTGCGTTTACCAACAATAGCTGATCGGTTAATCATTCGGCCACAGGGGCTGGGTCCCGCCACAATTTTTTTTTTTATTGTTTCTTAAGGGCGACGGCCTTGACACACCATCATCAAACTGACAGGTCCCAGGTAATTCAGAATGGCTTTGTTCTGTTAATCTGATTGTATCTGGATTCGAACTTGAGAACCAGACAAGAATCGCAGTTGTTTTCATTATTTCCTTGTCATTCTTGTTTTTCTTTTCTTTGTCAATGTGCCTTCCCTTCTCGGCTTGGCCGGTGATGCCACCCTCGTAGGGGACCACAACAACATTTGGTCAAGGGATGCCGGGCCCGTTTTTTTCCCCGCCTGCATAATAAAAAGCTTCCTTTACAATACATTAAACAAAAAAAAACAGAAGAAGCAGAAGAAGAAGAAGGGGAATAAAAAGAATCACAGTTGTTTTTCATAACGAAAACAGCAAAGCAGCAGGTTGTGAAAGCACTAAGAACACCAACGGGCCTAGCTCAGTTGGCACACCTATGAACTCTTGAAATACAGACCCGAGTTCGAGTCCAGATGCAGTCTGATGAACAAAATAAAATAATTCTGAATTACTGAGGGCCGGTCAGTTCAATGATGATATCTAGAAGGCCGTCGCTCTTTTATCTAAAGGCCGTCGCCCTCTCAAAAAAGGGAATACAAAACAGAAGTACTGAGAAGATATAAAAACTATAGTATAAATGGTGAAATTTGGATAATTAGAAGAACCCACCGTTCCTTGAGTTCCTTACGGGTCCAGTGATCAACTTTGTCCTGGTTCCATTCGTCCGAGATCCTCGCCGATTCTGACATGACCTCCGTAGCTGCTGCGTCCATCCTGTCAGTCAGTCAGCCTGCAAAGAAACTTAAAAAAAAAAAAAAACTCAGTCAATTGCTTCACGAAAAAAGACGTCCCATTTCAGGTACGGGCTGAAAGAGAGTAAACTCAGTCAATTGCTTCACGAAAAAAGACGTCCCATTTCAGGTACGGGCTGAAAGAGAGTAAGGAGAGTGTTGAAAATTGAGAGTTCAATAAGGGGGCACATAAATCGGTAGTAGGTTTCTCTCTACTGAATCTTATGGACCCTAATTGTTCGTACGCCCAAGCACAACAAGCCGCTACCACGACGCGACTCTCTTCGTTCCGAGATTGCAGATAAAAAACAAAGTGATGGAGTGTTGTCTTTTTTCTAGTAACTTTCTTTTGATCACTTGGGATACACTCATCTCTCTCTCTCTCTCTCTCTCTCTCTCTCTCTCTCTCTCTCTCTCTCTCTCTCTCTCTCTCTCTCTCTCTCTCTCTCTCTCTTACTCTCCTCGTACACCACCTGCATATCCAAATGTATCCTACCCTCTCGTGATACAGACCCTTCGTCATTCTCCTGCTCTATCGTTTCCTAACAAGCTCTTCCCCTCCCCCCGAGCTCCTCTTCCTGCCTTACAATCTCTTCTTCGCCACCTTGTCCGGATCCCAATCCACGACCTGCACTCCTTACCCTGTTGCCTTGGCGTTCGTTCTACTGCACTTCATCAATCCCTACATCCTCACCCTGGTTCGCTGATCCGACCTCCTCCTCTTGATCCCACATCCTGATTGCGCCCCCCCCCCCCAATCCGCACTGCCCATCCCCTGCTCTACAAATTGGGTCCGCGATCTACATCCTCCTCCCATTTACTTGATAGGATCCTCCTCCATGACTTCCGCCTCACAACCTCCTTGACCCCGGCAATCTCGCCTTGCATGCTTCATCCTCTCTAGGTGGCTCTTCTCTTTCCTTTGTCGGGGCAGCCCCATCCCGACCAACCAAATCCCGACCCTCCTCCAGATCCCGCATCCTGACCCTCACCCTTCGTCTTTCTCCTGCTACTCCAGCCCCTCAAGATTTCGATGGCCACCTTCTCCTCTCCTTTTCCTCCATTTCTGGGGGCAAGCCTCTCGCTCACCTTCTCCTCCATACCTGACCAGGCACCTCACCTCCCACAAGTTTTCCTTCCTCGCAGTTCTCTCCACCTGACCAGGCACCTGACCTCCCACTAGTGCTCCTTCCTCCCAGTCCTCTCCACATTCACGGCATGATCCCCGCATAGTCCCTCCTATAGCGGCCGCGCAAAAACCCTACCCTGGTTGCAACATAGCAACCCCACAAAAGACGGAGCTGCAGCCCTAAACGAATGGGTCCGGATGGAGGGAAGGATGGAGCGCCGTGCCCCGACCGAAACGCACCGATTGTATTGTACCGGAAAGATACCCTGCGTAAGTGCATGATGCGGGTGCGTTTTTCTTTTTTTTTTTCCGTGTGGTCCGATGAACCACAGATCAGATATTAAACTGATCAGAAACAGATACCACACTTGATCTTAGCCAAAAGGCCGAGAAAGGTATGCGGGTGCGTTTTGCTCGGGGGAAGACGGTTGAAGGATGTGCAGGTGACCATTCCTTTTTTCGCAAATTGGAGTCCCCTCCCTCCTTCCCCTTCCCCCTCCTCCCTCCTCTCTCTCTCTCTCTCTCTCTCTCTCTCTCTCTCTCTCTCTCTCTCTCTCT